GATTGGATTAGGAGGGTTGTGGATTGGGGAGTTTGGTTCACAGCTTGAGCTTGAGAAAGTGGTAAGAAGGTAGAGGAATGAGGGCGAGGAATAAGGAGAGTGGACACAAGGGGTAGGTGAGTGAGTGAGTGAGTGGGGATGGGAATGAGGGGAATGAGAGGGAGTGGTTGAAGATGAGCCGCGCACTTTACGATATTAGAACGAAGACGTTATTTCTATTTGTCGTCATCGTAGTCGTAATCGTCGTCTTCGTCGTCGCAATAGGAGAGGCATCATCATCATCATCATCATCATCATCATCATCATCATCATCGTCATCATCATCATCATCATTATCATCAATGAACGAAGTTCGACGCAAGCGATTCAAGATCAGGGGGAATATTAATCGAAATTTCCCCTAAGAAGGTTTCATTCCCATCCATTCTCCTTGATCATGTGGGCGAGCTCGATTATGAACTTGCCCTCCTTGTACTTTTGACTTGACTCAAAGGCATGCTCCTGAGAAAATTACAATGAAAATATTATTATATGATTATCTTACATATATATATATATATATATATATATATATATGTATATATATATATATATATATATATATGTATAATATTTATATACTATATGGAACTAATGTTTTTCCATCTGACGAGACAGAGAAAGAGAAAGAGAGAGAAAGAGGGAGGGAGGGGGGAGAGAGAGAGAGAGAGAGAGAGAGAGAGAGGGAGGGAGGGAGAAAGAGAGAGATCTCAGTGGGAGAGCTCTTTCTTTCTTTCTTTTTTCTTTTTTTTTTTTTTTTTGTTATTCGTTTCTTTCTAACTCACGTATTTCCAGCCGAGAGTCGTCTTGCAGCACTCGCAGTAAATATCGGCGACCGCATGAAGGCCGGTTAAGAGTACGCGTTCCTCGGCAGGACCACAACCCACGTTTACCCTATGCATATAACAAAATTCATTTTTATACTATTATATTTATATTTTAATTTTACTTTTCATTTATTATTATATATATATTTATATATATATATATAATATCTCGGCGTTCACGTTTTGAAAGCTACGTGAATATTCATAAAAATGGAGAATTTTATAATGATCGGAAACGTTACTCTTATGATATAGATTGATCGATTTCATGAAACATGAGTTATTTCCCTAAATGTCAGAGAAAAATACTTATTGTATGGCACACTATATTTTTTTTTCTTTTTTTCTTTTTCTTTTTTTCTTTTTTTTTTTTATACTTACACAGAATTGAAGAGATAGGCACGACCTTGACTGCCTTGGAAGGACTGCAACAAAAGTAAAAAACGATCTTTGAGTTATCTCGAAATTAATTTAAAAATATAATGTAAGAGATAGAGAGAGAGAGAGAGAGAGAGAGAGAGAGAGAGAGAGAGGGAGAGAAAGAGCTACGTCAAAAAATATTAAAAAGTTTTTATGAAAAGTAATGTTTCAATAGATTTTCGATAATTACTTTTTCTTTTCTTTTCTTTTGTTTAACTTATTAATATGAAAGTAAACTTATTAACATAATTAGTTTATCTTTCTTTTTCTCTTCCTCTCTCTCTCTCTCTTTCTCTCTCCAGGGAAATATTTTTTATTGTTTATTTTCTTTTCTGCATACTTCATAAATCTGAAGTTTGTATTAAATAGGAACAACTTTAAACAGAAAAAAAAAAAATAAATATAAAATAAAATAAAATGAAATGAAATAAAAGAAGAAGATAAAGAAGAAATAAAGAAAGAAAAAAAAAAAGAAAAGAACTTTTGTATTACGAAATATTTTATTTAACTGAGATAAAAATGTTAATTTCATAGTTACAAAATTATTGAACGAATGAATAAATAAAGCATAATAATAAATGTCAGGTATCAAAATAAAAAAAAACTCTCTTTCTCTCTCTCTCTCTCTCTCTCTCTCTCTCTCTCTCTCTCTCTCTCGCACTGATCTTATAACTACTATCAATTCAACGTCAAGATGTTTGAAGTTTTTTCTTTTTATTTTATTATTATTATTATTATTATTATTATATTTTTTTTGTTCTTTTTATATTCATTTTTCTTTACGCTCGAAGAAATCAAATCGAATTATATATTAATTACCGAGGTAAAGAAAATCCGTTACCTGATAGAGAGAGCTCACCTTAGAGATGAGTTCGTCGTGATTGGCGAGGTGAGCACGGCAGTGAATGCACGAGTAAGTGCGATGACAGGAGGGCAGATACGCTTGGAAAGTTTTGACCATGATGCCGTGTCCAAGCGAATAAAAAAATTCTTTGTTTCTGTAGCCCCCTGTATATTTTTACAACACACCTTCTCTCTCTCTCTCTCTCTCTCTCTCTTTCTCTCTCTTTTTTTTCTTCCTCTTCTTCTTTTTTCCTTCTTCTTCAATTGTCTTTCCTTTTTTATAATCTCACCCTATCTCCCTTTTTTCTTCTTTCTCTTTATCTCTTTCTTTTGCTCGTTCTTTCCTCTCCCTCTCTTTCTCCCTCTCTCTC